GGGGGCAGGAGACCTCCCTCAGAAGGGGTGAGGGTTCAGGCCTCTGTAAAGTTGGGGGGGTGAGGGCCTGTGCCCCACCTATGTTGACCCCCAAGTTGTCTCCTGATGGCCCCTCTGAGACTGTGCCTGTCTTAGGTTGTTCCTTCCCTGAGGAATCTTACCTGTCTCTGGATAACCAGCCATCTTCCAGGGCCAAGCAGGGTGATGTGAGGTGTGCAAATGAGGGAGTGGCAGCGCCCCCCTGCAAGAGGTTCAGTTCTGTCTCCTTGGTAACCTATGCCCCTGTGGCCTCCATGCCCAGCACCTGCCTTGGGCTCCCCTCGCCTGCTGGTGGGGCCCCGGCTCTGGTCATATCTCTTGGGGAACCCAGGTTTCTTCTCCAGGGAGGGCCCAGCTCACACGATTGGGCGAGATACAGATTCATGGCACTGGCCACCAAGAGGCCTCAACCTCAGCGTGAACAGAAAGCCCAGGCAACAGCTGTGGGCAAATGGACTGTGAGAAGAAAATCCCTCTTGACACAAGGGCAAGAGGGGCCAATACAGGAAAAAGGAGGAACGGCCTGTCAGCATGTAGTCCCAGGACAGAGCTTTCTCAGCCCAGGATGTCAGGCTCTTGGCACAAGACAACTCCACATATGGGGCATATACCAGACACCCCCTAGTATATATATAATGATAGGATTCTAACAGGCAGTGACCTTAAATACAGGGGCTAGGCAATATTGCTAATTAAATTATCCTAGATCTCTACCTTGAAAATGTATAGTGACAAAGGGAATGACAGGACACAAATGAACTCTTCATATCTAAGGTAAAAACAATGCATGAATTATTCTAGAATCAAGATAATTAAAAAATATTCTTTCCTCTAGTGATTGAACAGCGGATATTCTACCCTTGATTGACCATTTAAAAACACACACAAAAAAACTACAGAATATCTTAACTCAGTGCCCTCTGAAATAGCCTTGGGCTGAGTGTTTAGCAACTGTCATTATCACTGCAATCATTGGCTTTGACCACAAGAGGGAAATTAAATACAGTAATGAGGTTATTACACATCAGTTCTAAAAGTGATGACTCAGTGAAAGAGAAGAAACTTTAAAAAGTTAATATAATCTACTTATATAAAAACCCTGGGTGGAGTTCATCACCACTGGGGTCTGGTGACCAAGTGGAAGGAAGTCAGTCCTGCAGGGGTTGTCTTGGAAACGGCTGCACCCTCCCCCAAGGTGTTTCCTGTAAGGGCAAGGTTAGAGGCAGGAACCTGCCCTCTGAGCATGGAGGCATATCTTTATAAAGTGTGCTGTGCCAGCACGGCCATGGGTGAACCTGAGTGGGGGCGGCTGAAAGGGTTAGAAAAGACAGACAAGAGAATGAAAGCAGGTCTTGGTGGGATGCTGCTTCTCTGAGAGACAGC